AAGAACTTGCTTCTTGCTCAACCAAGAAACCCCGCGGCCGCACCTGCTGGAGCAATCACCGTGCCTGCCGCCTGAATCCTTCCAAGAAAGCGGATCCCACAACTTCCTGTTTTCCCCAAAGCATCCGTCACCCTCGATTTGCCCTCGATCCTCGGACTTGTTATGAAATCAGCTCCAAGCAATGGAAGATGTGGAAGAGCAAGCAAGAGACCATGCAATGCAACGGCGTGCATAGCTTTTTGCACGAAAGAGCTATATAAAATATACATCCCCGCCAAGTCATTGCCGCAGTGCAATTTCAGCAACAAATTTCAGTAGGCATCAACAGGGTTTGGTTTTTGTAATTGTGAAGCTGTCACTGAGGTACAAGTTCACGAAAGTGCGGTTGCGAACACTCAAAATTCCAGAGGCCAGTTTTACGCGATGATTGAAGGAACCGTTTATTTACAGCGGTTGCAGGTCGGAGACAAATTCGCTTCACGGCACGGTCAGAAAGGAACGTGGGCAGCTCAGCTTTCGGAGGGGTTGGAAGACAAGAATCACAGGCGACAACTGCTGAGGCTTGGGATTTTGTACCGGCAAGAAGACCTTCCTTTCACACACTTTGGCGTCACACCGGACATTGTCACGCCGTCTTGTACTGTACTTTCTGGTCCCTTCAAGGGAACTTGTTTCGTTGCTGCAAAAAGGGCAGAAGAGAAGGACGATTCTTGACAGCGGCGTTCGACCTTCCAACAACATAGGTCGAATGGCCGCCAGATTAATTGAAAGCACTCCCCTCAGACAGTTTTCCTGCAAGTCGTCCCATTCACCTTGTTTCGTCCAACTAACAGCTTAAGCGATCTTATCCCTTGTTCCCTACCCCCCCATGACCGCTTGGAAAGGGTTGCACAGACATTCACCGTGGCATGAAACTCAAGAACCCTTGCATTACAGCGGTCAGTGGTCGTGATTTTGTGTTGGAGGGCTGGTGGTGTTTTAGTGGCTTTCGGGTTCGTTTTTTGTCGATTCATCAACAAGCAGGGACAGACGTGTTTGGTGATTTCCACCATTGCATGTTAGCTTTTTTGTGCATTTGTAGTAGACGTTTCACGTCAATGAGGTGGCACTGCAGCAGCAGCAGCAGCGGCAGCAGCAGCATCACGAGGAGGAGGAGATAGTAGTAGTAGTAGTAGTAGTAGTAGTAGTAGTAGTAGTAGTAGTAGTAGTAG